GGATCACACCCAGTGATGCTCAGGGATTACTCCTGTCTGCACTCAGGAATCACTCCTGGTGGTGCTCAGGGAACCACGTGGGATACCGGGTATCGAACCTGGGTCAGCAGTGTGCAAGGCAAATGCCCAACCTGCTGTGCTATCTCTGTGGTCCCCAGCCCTGCAATTTTGTCTACACTTTGAGGTCAGCAAAACAGAAGGTTTATGTTCCTGTTCTGACAATAATGTCCACAGATTCTGTTGCGAGTTATGACTCTGCCATGTATTTCACGCATCTCACTTATTTCCTTGTTTTGGTTTTGGGACCACACTCAGAGGTGTTCAGGAGTTACTCCTGGCTCTGTGCTCAGGGATCACTCCTGGCAGGCTCAGGGGGACCATATAGGATGCCAGGGACTGAACCCGGGTTGGCTGTGTGCAAGGCAAGCACCCTCCCATTGTACTCTGTTTCCATTTGTTCTTTAAGAGAAAATATGCATATGAAGAAATAGAACTTTCATATGATCCATCAATACCACTTCTGGAAATATACTCCAGGGGTGCAAAACTGCACAGCAGGAATGACATCTGCACTTGTATGTTCTCTGCAGCACTGTTCACAATAGCCTGAATCTGGAAACAACCTGAGTGCCCTACAACAGGTGATTGGTTAAAGAAACTATGGTACATCTACACAATGGAATAATATACAGCTGTTAGAAAAACTGAAGTAATGAAATTCACTTATAAATGGATGACCTGGAGAGTATCATGCTCAGTGAAATGTATCAGGGGAGAACAAACCTAGAATGATAGCACTCATTTGTGGGATATTATGAAAACATAGTGTGGGATTTACACCCAAGGACAGTAGAAACAAGGGCACACTTGGAAGCCTGCCTCAGGTTCTGGGGAGACGGCAGTTGAGATAGAGAAGGGACCACTATGACAATGATGGTGGAAGGGTGGGAGATGGGAGATGTATGCTTCCAGTGGGTAAAGGACCAAACATGATGGTCTCTCGGTGTCTGTATTGCAAACTAGAATACCCAAAAGGAGAGAGAGGGAGAAGGAGAGAGAGAGAGAGAGAGAGAGAAGAAGAGTATCTATCATAGGGGCTAGAGAGATAGCACAGTGGGTAGGGCGTTTGCCTTGCAAACGGGTTCGATTCCCAGCATCCCATATGGTCCCCTGAGCACCGCCAGGAGTAACTCCTGAGTGCAGAGCCAGGAGTAACCTCAGTGCATCACCAGGTGTGACCCAAAAAGAAAAAAAAAAAGTACTTATCATGCAGGCAGGGTGGAGGCAGAAGAGAACCTGTGGACACTGGACCTGGGAAATGTCCACTAGTGGAGGGCCAAGTGTTGGAACATCATATGACTGAAACACAATCATGAGCAACCTTGTAACTGTGTATCTCATGGTGATTCAATTTTAAAAAATTACATAAAAAGAAAACTTGCATCACAGTGAATAGGCAGCTCCCTGGCATTGGGTGCTTTCACAGTGTTGGCCCGCCCTTCCTGCTTTCTGTTTACAGTCGATGACACAGATTGATTTTTATAAAGGGGAAGTGACAGCCCCAGCCGCATTTGTGAGTCCGTGAGGTACGAGGGATGGAACTCAGGACGTTGTGGGGGCCAGGTCCGGGCGCCCCCACTACAGCTTACTCGCGGCTCATGTGCCACTTTGTGTGATGTTCCAAGGAGTCCTTGGGGAATGGCATCGAGAGGTGCCGGAAGAACTCCACTGTAGGGAATAAAAGAAGCATTTTCTAGAAGAGAGGCAACCTCTGCCTGCTTCCGTGTCCGAGATACTTTCTGGGAAGCAGAATTATCGCCGTGGATCATTGAGAAAGAGTCAACACTGACCCTAAGGGAAGAAGGACGATGGGCCCAGAACCCAGGGCAAAGCATTTGAGATGGTAGCGGCCTTGTTACTTTGGGGTGCTCACACACAGTTCACGGGATACCAGCACCCTCCAAGTTGCCCAGGGATCCTTATAAAGGCTTCCTAGCACTGCCGCCTCCTGGCGTGCTGGCCTTCCCCGGGGCCATTCATAGAATGCTTTCAGGGCACCTGTGTCATGGGCAGGTTTTATAAGACACAACATCTTTCAGGTGCTTTCTACCTTTCCCTGTGTAGAAGTCAAGCTTTGGAAGTCACTTTGCAGAACGGATTTGTACCAAATTATCAAATGTCAGGAGATGGGAGGCCCGGAAACCAGTTTCAGATCCATGTCGTCACAAGACCCGAACATCTGTTCCCAGCCTCTTGTCAGAACATTCACGAAAACCCGACTCAGTCCAAGAACCTGATTCCGATGGCCCCCACTTCCCTGCTCTGGGGCGGGGGTTGGGCAAAACGCTTGGCCAAGCAGCGCGCGCACAAAGGCCGCCTTTGTGTATTGATCTGTGACTTGCTCAGGCTTCCAGCATTGATAAATTCTCGCCTCCCGGACTCGGTCAGCCCAGATGAAGTGATCAAATTCACTCAGTTCCAGGAATTCCTGGGGCTGCCTGAGAGTTTGCCAGCTGCTCAGAGCCCCAGCCGCTCATCTGCTGATACAGAATATAGAGAATGGTGGGAAAGGAGGGGGGGTGGAAATGGGATGTAATCCGTCCTTTATTTGCTTGTGAGTTCTAGTTAGGGCACACCCAGCGGTGCTCAGGGTTTACTACTGGCTCTGTGCTCAGGGATTATTTGTGGGAGGATTTGGGAGAACCACTAGTGATGCTGAGGAATGCCTTATTTTTCCCCCTTTTTTTGCTTTTTGGGTCACATCCAGCGATGCACAGGGGTTACTCCTGGCTTGTGCACTCAGGAATTATTCCTGGAGGTGCTTGGGGAACCATAGGGGATGCTGGGAATCAAACCCGGGTCAGCCGCATGCAAGGCAAATGCCCTATCCTTTGTGCTATCGCTCCAGCCCCTGGGGAATGCCTTAACCCCTGGACTCTCTCTCTGACCCGCGAGGCCTTTGGCAGATGCTGTGCTTTAGGAATTCTCCCTCGGCGTCTCACCTCCAGCCTTGGTTGATGACTGTCTGTGAGGTGTGTGGGTCTCTGGGCTGAAGAGGAGAGCCTCCAGCAAAGGCTTCACCCCTCCTCCTTGGAGCCAGGTGTGGGAGCAGCGTGATCCCTGCACCCTCTTTGGCTTGGCGAGTGAAACCTTGAGCACTCAGCATCTTGCTAGGCAACGTGGCAGCCGGTGGCCTTTGTGGGTCTTGCGTGCACTGATCAGCATGGGAGGTGGAGGTATGTTTGACAGAGAAGGAGCAGTTTCTGAGAACCTGTGCCCCACACAGGGTGTGACGTCCCCTGTGACCCCAGGCACTCAGTGCCAGCCACGCAAGTTGGGCTTATCCGTGGAGAATCTCACCGGCCTCTCTGGAGTGGTCAGTATCTTTTGGGGCCATCCCTGACGATGCTCAGGGGTTACTCCTGGCTCTTGCATTCAGTTGTTTAGGGGACCATATGGGATGTCGGGGATTGAACCCTGCAAGGCAAATGCCTACCCACTGTACTATGGCTCCAGCCCCTCTTTTTTTTTTTTAATTTTTACAAGCGGCCAACATGGCCGACCCGAGTTCAATTCCTCCGCCCCTCTCGGAGAGCCCGGCAAGCTACCGAGAGTATTCGATATGCCAGACACAGTAACAACAAAGTCTCCAATGGAGACGTTACTGGGCCCGCTCGAGCAAATCGACGATCAACGGGAGGGCCTTTACCTTTACCTTATTAGTGAGACATCATGAGGTACAATTGTAGACTTACAAATTTTTGTGCTTGGGTTTCAATTATACAGCGATCAAATACCCATCCCTCCACCAGTGCCCATTTCCCACCACCATGGATCCTAGTATCCCTCCCACCCCGCATACCCCCGATCCCACCCTGCCTCTGTGGCAGCAGCCCCTCATATTTTTAAGATGCTTTGTTACTGTTTTATTTTCTCTCTTTGGCTTGGTTTTTGGCCACACTTGGCAGTGCTCAGGGGTTACTCCTGTCTCTGCACTCAGGAATCACTCCTGGAAGGGCTCAGGAGGTCATATGGGATGCCAGGGATTGAACCTGGGCCAACCAAGTGCAAGGCAAACATCCTTCCCACTGCACTATCTCTCGGCCCCTAAGCTGCTTGTTTCTGAGGAGTAAAGTATCTGGAGAGTAGTTTGGGTCCCACAGGGACAGGCTAACAGACACATGGATTCCTCTGCCTGCCAGGGTCTGATTCCTGTTGTCACTAGGTCCCTCGGATTATAACTTGTTTCCTAAAAGGTTCTGTCTTACAAAAGGGGAGCGAAGAACATGTACCTAGTAACTGGCAGTGTTTGAAACATCTTCCTCCCAGTGCTTTTTGTTTGATTGGGTCAAGAATTTTTTTTAACTGGGGGACTTGACCCAGCAGTGCTCAGGGGATACTCCCAGCAGTGCTCAGGGAGCTGTGTGGTACTGGGGGGTCGAAGCTGGGTCTCTCACATGCATACTCTACACTAGTCCTTGAGTTTTCTCCCCATCCTCCTGCCAGTATTTAATCTGGGGAATAGGCTTGGATTGATTTTCCCTGAAACCCATCAGCCTGTCCTTCTAAACTTGGAGAGTAGAAAGTGGGGCCTGAAACATTCTACTCCCTCGTCTCACGGGCCCAGTGTGTAGAACTCAGTGTATTGTACTAGTCCCAGCAGAATTATTGAATGTAGGGAATCGAAGATAAATGAAGTAGTTCAAGAACCTCATTGGGAGAAGAGGCTGGCATATGTCATCGAATAAGATGCCTTTTTCCATGCGTTCATTGCCCAGATTGGTCCTCCGGCTGCAGATATAGGGATTCACCTTTAGTATGGGTGTGTGGAGCAGACAGCAGCATTTAGCTCCTCAGTGAGAGAAAGGCTGAGAAGGACCCAGGGGTGCCCAGGGCTAGACCAGGCCTAGTCAGGACCCCAGAGAGCCAGCCTGGGTGGGCTGGGGGCTCTCGCTGCTGGACCTGGAGGGCTAACGTGATTCTCTGGTTTCTCCTTGCAGCAAAGAGCCCCCGGGAAGGTGCTGCTGGATGCCGTGTGCGGACACCTCAACCTCGTAGAGGGCGACTACTTCGGCCTCGAGTTTCCTGACCACAAAAAGACCACGGTGAGTGTTGGAGACCGTGTTGGATGTGGGTGTGAGAGACCGTGGTGAGTGACAGAGACCGTGTTGGCCATGGGCATGAGAGAACACAGCGAGTGATGGAGACTGTGTGGGCCATGGGTGTGAGAGACCGTGGTGAGTGATGGAGACTGTGTGGGCCGTGGGCATGAGAGACCATGGTGAGTGATGGAGACCGTGTTGGCCGTGGGCGTGAGAGAATGTAGTGAGTGATGGAGACCATGTGGGCCGTGGGCATGAGAGAATGCAGTGAGTGATGGAGTTCATGTTGACTGTGAGCACAAGGAAACAGAGCCATTGGGGCTCCATGCAGCAGCCCTTCGTTTTTATCTGTCTCCACATGGGACTCAGTCGGGAGATGTGCAAGTTCATGGAAAATCGGTGGTGGGGAGGGGAGGGTCAAGGCTGTGACCTCTGGCCTTTGCCCCTACCTCCCCTTTGCCCAAGTCCTTGGGCAGCCTCATAAAATAAGATGGTTCTGAAAGAGACAGATGTGAGGAACAGTCTAGAGAGTCTGTCACTCCTGCTTCCTTCTGCCCCCCCAACCCGTCCCCCACCACCCCCCCGCCCCAGCACTGTGTGACCACCCTTGCAGGGAACTCTGAGCTGTTTGCTTTCCCCAGTGATGTCACAGCAAACATCCTAGTTCATTTGCATATGCATCAAGTGATCAGCTCCTAAAGCATGAAATGCCCTTTCCCTGGGCTCCACCTTATGTCTTGGCCAAAGGTGACATAAGATTCTTCCAAGAGGTTCCCCAGGCCAGGGAGTGGCTCCAAGGCTGGGGCAGTTGCCCTGCCGGCTACTAAACCCTGAGTTCCATCTGTCCCAGTCACCAACCGGATCATAGCCTGCTGGCCCTGGACTTGTGGCCTGTACAGTGAGGCTGGGTGTTGCTGGAAGCAGCCCCTGAGACCCAGACAGAAAACAATCTAATAGAAAGGTATCCCTGGTTTGGACCCAACTGGTTGAATATAATGCACTGTTGTTTGCAGGAGGTAAGGGAGGACCACATCTAGTGGTGCTCAGGGCTTACTCCTGGCTCTGAGCTCAGGGATCAGCCTTGCCAAGGCTCCGGGGACCATATGGGGTTCCAGGGTTTGAACCCAGGTCGGCATGTGCAAAGCAAATGCCCTGCCTGCTGGACTGTTCCTCTGGCCCCTGTTTTGCTTTTAATTCCTATAAATAATGGCAATCTCGTAGGGGCTCTCTTTGCATTCAATATGCTGTTAAGGGTGATGTTCCTGAACTATTACCATGATTTTTTTCCAGTGGACACACCAAATAACTAGAACGTTGGCTCACCCTGTCCTAGGAACCCAAGTGTAGTGAGATGTTGGACAACATGTAATCTGACTGGGGCTAGGGGGCTATACAGGACATGGTCTGTAATGAGATATGGTCTGAGATCAGGGGCCAGTGGGCCTGGGGCAAAAAAATATTCATCAGAAAATCATTCCCCCATCCTATGAGACCATCCTCCTGAGGCCAGCAGGATGGGCCTGGTAGAAATCTCCAGAGTGGGCATCTCACGTATGAAGACCAGAAAGCTCTTGAGCTGTTCCTGAACCAGCTAGTCAGGCTGCAGTGGAGAGGCGAGGAGGAGGAGGAGGAGGAGGAGGTGAGGGAAGGAAGATGGACAAGGCTGACTCAGGGTGTGTATCCAGTTGGAATAAAGCACATGACAGCCGAGTGCTGGCTCCACAGTTAAAGTGCTTTACTGGGGGGTGCAGGGCTGCCAGCAGGTCTAGCTGGACACGTGGGTGAGTGCATCAGCAGCCTGATGGTGCCTTCTTGCTTCCCGGTACCCCAAAATTGCTGCCGTGCCTCTGGCTGGAACCCAACAACATAGGACCAAGTTTCCTGAGAAATTAAACTGACAAAAGTTAGGTATGTGGGAGCTACGCCCACAGACCACCTCCAGTTCAGCTATAATCTCAGATAAAATCTGCCGAAAATTTGGGTATGCGGGTTTTGTGACTGAAATCTGCTGGCTTTCTCAGAGTTGGGATGGGCTACCTCTCCCCACTTCCCAATACTCATGGAAGCACTGGAGTCACAAACCAACTCCAGTTCCACCCAGTAAGCTCTACTACTGACCTTGTTTCAGAGGCACATAAATAAACCTCAAAAGAGATCAAAAGTCGCAGCTAATCTTGGACCCTTGCAAAGCTGAACAGGCTGGGGTAAATCACATGGGGGAGGGTTGTCCTGGTGCCCACCCAAGCAGAGCCCCCCGTCCCTGGCTATTTGCTTCCACAATCCAAAGTCACCTCCATACCCCTGACCTGACTTCACCATCTGAGGATGGACTTGACTGAGATATCATCTGCTGAAATTTTGGCTGTGTGGTTTTATGACTAAAATCTTAGACTTTCTCGGGGTAGGGATGGGCTACCTTCCCCCATTTTCCTATACTCCTGGAAGCCTCGGCAGTCACGTCCATACCAAAAGCTGCCCCATCAGTTAAAAAAAAAATAACTACTCCATCCTTACCTTCCCAGTAAAAGTACTGAACACCCTAAACAAACATGATGAGCTTTTGGCACCATATTGAAGATTATAATACACACAAGGAGAGAGAGAGCAAGAAGGAAAGTGTCTCCTACATAGGCAGGCTGGGGCTGGGGGTTGTGGTGTTGGGGGTTGGTGGTGGGGAGACAGGAGACATTGGTGGTGGGAAATGTACACTGGTGGAGGGATGAGTGTTGGATCATTATATGACTGAACCCCGGTCATGAACAGCTTTGTAATGATCTACATCATGGATATTCAATTTTTAAAAAAAAGGTACTATGGAGTTTATGCCCACTTCAGTTAGCTTAATCAGTGGTTGAATAAATAGCAAGTACGCCTACATTTATAAAACCAAAGTGCTTTACTTGGAGCCAGAAGGATAGGACAGGAGTCAGGTACTTGCCTTGCGTGTGGCTGACCCCAATCCAATCCCTGGAACCACAGTGGGTAAACCCTGATGACTGAAGACTCAAACTCAGCCAAGTGCATGAATTTGCAGTGAGTATGACACTGCCACAGTCGCCGGGGCCAGCACCATCTTGCAGCTTTGCCCACTATGACCCTTGGGACCTCAGGGGATTTCCGGCTGCACCACAGCCCCAGGACTAACCAGCTGGTACATGTATCTAGCCATGGTACTGACGACAGAGCCCTGTCGTACAGCTGAACCTTAGAGCTTTCATCACTCAGACCCTGTTCTCATTCCACAGTAGGTCTCTTTTCACTGGCCCCGGCACACAGTGTTGTCCTTCTGACTGCTCTGAGTTAGCCTGCATGGAGTTCCACATCAGTCAGATACAGCCGTATTGGTCCTTCCATGAGGGACTTAAATCCTCAGGATAATGCACTTCAGGTTCATTCATGTCATTAGCCTGAGTTAGAATTCCTTTTTTTCCATTCGTTGGAGTTTTGGGCTTGTTTGCTTGCTTGCTTGCTTGCTTGCTTGCTTGCTTGCTTGCTTGCTTAGGGTTTACTCCCAGCTCTGCACTCAGAAATTACTCCTGAGAGTGCTCAGGGGACCATATGGGATGCCAGGGATCAAACCCGGCTGGGCCGTGTACAAGGCAAGTACCCTCCCCGCTGGGCTGTCACTCAGGCCCCTGTTGTGGGTGTTTATACTTCCGTGCATTGATCACCTGTGCAGGCTTTACGTGGCAGCCCCAACCAGCAGGAGTCACAGCACGCCAGGTGTGGTTTTGCCTATTGATCTGTGCATGAATATCCCAGGTCTGATATGCAGGACCGTGAGCCTTTATCACCAAGATGATATAAACCAGATCGTCCCAACCCCCTTCCCATCATTCCTGTCATAGGAATAACCTCTGTTGGAGCCTCTTCCTGGGGAAGAGTTTCCAGGCACTGAAGGGAAAAAACACTTTCTGGCGCCTACCATGGCTTGGTCAAGATTAGAAATAAACGAGGTCGTACTAAGTGACCAGCTGGGCACGCCCGTCCTTAGGCTTGTCGTGGCATTTGACAGTTAATAGACTGGGTGGCTGCCTTTATACTCGAGCTGTTACCGGCCTTGAGTGGGCACCAGAGGCCCGTGGGATTGGCCCACCCGAGCAGAGAACTCTTTTAATCAGCGCCTTCCTTATCGATTGCGTGCTCAGTGGCAGAAATGCTATTGATTCCAGGAATCAAGGTCTTGCACTTACTACGCTGGCTAATTGCTTCCCGGAGTCTGAAGGTGGGGAGTGGGCAGAGGCATGGAGAGACTGCTGGGTGACGAGCCGTCCAGGAGCACAGCCTGTGCCATCAATTCTCAGTGCGTCTGGCTGAGCCTCCTATCAGCGATGCACAGACCGTCTGCAAGTGTATCAGCCTTCACAAACGATGCCGTTTCTATGGCAACGACTGTTGTAGAGAGCAGCAGCCATTGACGGTTAATACACGCCCAGGCATCTCATTTTGATAAAACCTTGTTTATTGGGTGCAGATATTTGACTTTCATGAAGTGTTCACGTGTCATGAAAATCTGCTGCTGATTTTAATTTTTCTTTGAAACCTTTACAACTGTAAAAGCCACGAGGGCCAGCGAGATGGCAGGGGAGGTAAGGTGCTGGCCTTGTCTGCGGCCAACTCCATTCCGTCCTCAAACCATATATGGTTGGGCCCCTGACCACCACCCAGGGTTAGCCTTGAGCATAGATCCAGGAATAGCCCCAGAGTACTGCAGGGAGTGACCTATAAACTCAAACAATAAAGGAGGTATATGGGTATGGTTATAAACCAGTCTCGGCCATTGGACTGGATTTGACCCACAGACCTTGCTTGGTTGCCTGACTCTGCATTTTCTTATTTTTTTTCAAATGAGACAAACATAACTAATATATTCAGTAGGAGGAAATAAAAATGTCTCTTCTGCTCTCATAAATAAAACAATAATACAAGAGTGTTTTGCTAAGCAACTAGCATATACTCCTGAACATAGTTTTGGAAGTCCTAATTAGAATAATTAAGAAAAT